TTGACCGCCTCTGGCTCTCTTCCACCCTTCACGTGGTTGTGCGAAAAGAGCCCTTCGAGGAAGTCGGTCGACTGGCATACGCAACACGTGGCCAAGCCAGCGCAACCTATGCAGTGTGATCAGTTCATCTAACAGACTTTGAAATATACCTACATCAGCATGCCAACTCAGGAGATCGGAAGGTTGATTCGAATGAATGAATAGTCTCCCTGCTCACTTCATGCTCTCCTGCTGTCGGAAACCTCAAGTGCTGAGCCACACACCTGACGCCGTCGCTTTGAGTTTTCAGCTAGCCATTTTAAGGATCGTGGACTACTGTTGGTTAGTTTGCTGGCAATTAGTATGAGGAGAACTTCCGCGGTGATAAGATAAAGATAAGCGTTCGGCTGTAACACTCTTTCAGTGCTTAGCTGCCTTGCCACCAGAAGTAAACACGAGGGCTGGGATTCTGCCAGGTTGCCCAAGCATAGACGAGGGAAGTCAAGAGGCAGAGGTCGGTTTCGAAACATGGACCTTCCGAGCAGTAAATTCGCGCTCTAACCACTGAGCGGTATCGCTCCTCTCACAGTGAACGATCATGTGATTAGATACCGTATCACTGACAAATAAATCCCACTCTGATGTAAAGAATGTACATGATTTCGTCATATTGAGGCTTTTTTTAAAGCCTAACACGCGCGTATTTGTCCACATGTCATTCAATTGATCAAAAGTGCAGGAGGCTTTGTTTAAGCCACGTGAACATGTGAAATAGTTTCACAACCACTTTAGAACCAAATACTTCACAAAACCATACATTGCGAGACAAAACATTGTTTACAGAAAAGCGTAAGAATTTACCAATGCCCCACACAATGGTTCTTCTTTCTCAACAACCTCATTTGCCTTCTCCCGATTCAATCGTTCCTCGTCATCTGTCAGTTTGAAACGTCGTGCCCAGGACAGTTTCAAATGTATCTTCCCGGACGGTTTTGTCCCTTTACCAGTATTCGCTCGGTTGAGTGGTTGTAGTTCAAAAGCTCCTTGAACAATCTGCTTTTTATGCACAAGACCAAGAAGAGGAATTGTGGCAAATCCGAGACAGCTGGCGTTTGCATCTGGGTCTCCGCGATCCAGAACGAAGATTCGTAAGGATTGCGAGCGCAAATATCTTCAGGGAAGATGGGAGTGGAAGAACAAAGCAATAAGAATGGCGTTGTTTTGGTGTCGATAATTAAAGGTCTCCATTTGAGCTCCCAGACTGTTGAATATTTCGTCATTTTTTAGAAAAATCTATTAATTACTGCAGTAAACGTCCGGTTATTTTCAAAAAGAGTTCCTCTACAAAGGAAGCTATGCACAAGATTACCGAAAACTCTACGACACCTCACGAAGGGTTTTGCCCTTCTTGGGTCCTTACCTGGGATATCGTACCAACTGAAACATGAGGCGGCCGAGTGCAACACATTCAGTTGAAGAACATCAAAAAAGAAACATTTAGTTTAGTCTCCTGTGAAAACCAAATTGATGTGTAGATGAGTGTACTTGTCGAAGTAAGTCAAATTTGGGTTCGAATAGAACATAAGGTTGAGGGAAACTCGGGGACTTCGTCCATCTGATAAGCCCCAACAAGGGCGAAACCAGCCGAGGGCTATCAAGGAGTTTTCAGCAGCATACTGAGCAGTGTGTTACGTCTACCCTTGGTATTTTTGCGGCCTGGAGGAAACTCTTACTTCAACTTTGTAGCTAGGATTGTGGCTAGGCATCGTGAATTCGTGTTGAACTGAGCCAGTCCTGTACGCCACTTGTTCCCAAGCATGTTGAAAGGCGGAGGTGAACGACCTTGACACTACTACTCAAGGTCGGGTGACCTTTTTGAGTCCAGCACACATCCGATAGCAAATGACAGTCCACGACCCTCCTAGTGTTTCGCACAGATCTTTTCTTCAACTATTCCTATCGGGTCCCCTAAACATTGCCGTCAAAATCTGGAGAGGCTTTTGTTCCTTGGTTTCCTACCTCTGCAATACGATTTGTGCACATTCGTACACTAAACACTTTCTTGTTCATGCTCTGATGAACCATGTTCCGAGCCTTGAATGGCCCAGTATAACTTGGGCACATTTAACCCTTTGCTAAAAAAATCCGTCTTCTATTCTTTTTCACTGAGTGCATAGTATTATCCGAATTGTCTTGGAGATTGATTTCAGCCTCTCATTGCGTCAGATGGCATATCTACAGCTTGACACAGATAGTCGGACGTTGTTTAGCAACTACGTGATCACTGGTGGATGGGTGTAAAGTGGAGTAGTCGGTTGGTTTCCGATTTTGTGACCCTGTGGGAAGAAAAAAACATCATAAACGAGAGATTCAGCTAAGTTCCAGGTGACACTCCTGTCAAAACCAAATTGGTATGCAAATTGGTATGAGTTATTTCGTTAAACTCCGGCAATTTGGGTTCGAGTAGAAAGTAAGGTTGACGGAAACTCGAGGACTGCGTCTACCTGATGATTCCGAAGGCCGTGAGCTGTCAGCAACCTTAGGATTAGTGTACTATGTCTATACATGTTTCGCGATACCTCGAATATCGTACCAACTGAAACATCAGGCGGCCGAATACAACACATTCAGTTGCTTGAAAACGTCATAGATGGGAGATTCAGCTGGATTCCAGGTGAGTCTCCCGTCAAAACCAAAAAGGCACGCAAATGAGTGTATTTCACTAAATAGTACGCCTCTTGGTCTGTCTTATAGCTCCATCAAACTCTCAGTAGGGAAGCCGGCAAGCTAGTCGATCATTCAATCGATTCAGCAAAAGCCGATGAGTGTTCAGGCACGCCACAGAAGCACGACCGAATGTGATCAGCGTTCAGGCATAACATAGAGGCACGATCGACGTTGATCGACGCCTATCAGACAGCCTGGATCAATGTCAGAAAGTGCCCTTTAAACGGCGCTGGGACGTTGTAACTTTTGCCCTCGCACGCACTCGCTTTTTGCAGTAAAGATGCTGTGTTCCTTGTCGGTGAGTTCTTTTCTGGCACCAGGCAATGGAGTGGGAACAGCGGTGAACTCTACGTGTCTTTTTTCAAACAGAATCCTTTCATTCGGTGCAGATGATACTTACTAGAATATTCCGCTACTTTCCATCTACCATACGTCTGAGGATTGAAGGCACCTGAAACGCCGTCTAAAGATTTAGAACAGATTTCTTTTCTGCAGTTGTTATACACAAAGATGTTATGCAACCTGAGTTGAATCATTGATATTGGCAAATGGATACATGTAAAACAGTTCACTTCCTTGAATTCAGCTTTCTTTTTAATGAAAACTGCGAGCAATTCTTCCCTATACACGTAATACACTACTAACAAGGTTGCTGAAAAATCTGCGACAGCACGCGATTGGTTTTGCCCTTCTTGGGGCCCATCAGATAGGCACAGTCACCGAGTTTTCGTCAACCTTATGCTCCTCTTGGACCCAGATTGGGCAGGTTTCAACACTCATTTGCACACCGGATTGGTTCTGACGGGAGATAATCACCTGGAACCCAGCTGAATCTCTCGTTTATGATGGTCCAGTTCAAGTCAGTGTATTGTACCAGTCCGCATGTGCGATATTTATGATACCGAAGCAACCACGAGAAATTCAGCTGGATTCGATCGACTCCCCCATAGAAATCATGGCATAAAACCAACGGTAAAGATCATATACATAGTGGAATGTGTTCAACAACCTTTTACCCGTTTTTCGAGCTTGACCAGCGGCTTCCACAGCTACAATTAGTTAAGCGACGAGTTGAACAGAACAACTCATTTCAAAACTTACTCTGACAGCTGACGGGTTTGTTTCACCAGGAAACTAGCCCTCTCATCGAATCTGGCCGTACCGGTACGATCCAACACACGAGAGACATATTCCGGCTGATCATAGAACTGGAAGACAAAATACGGAGATGGAAGGCGGCCAGGTTCACGGGACTTTAGTCCCGTAACAACTTTAATGGTGATATCGATTTGGTTGGTCTCATTTTCCACTGGAGGTTTCTGCCGGTCCTCGGCGGGCAACAGTTGGCTGGTGCGAACTGGTGACATCAGACTTGTGCGATGTTCTCGGTACACACTGAAAAACAGCGGTTTGGAATCTTAATGCCATTAGACACTTGAAAACCTATTTACCGCGCTTACAGTTAATTGTTAAACGCGAGCGTGATGATGAAACGCTGCACACAAACCACACAAAGCCGAAAAATTATTACCACAAGGAAATGAGTAAGTCTTTTTATCCAAGAAGACCCCATATTCAGAGACACTTGAAGCGACACTTACATCATCAGAAATTAGCGGAAAAGCGATGCCGCCACCACGAGAAAGTTCATATCAGTAAATCAGCTACATGAAGGTGATTCAGGTATGGTAACTACATAGAATCTAACGACTTTAGTAGAAGACTGTTGACTGAATGTCTTACCTCGGCTTGGCGAATTAGCTAGACTGAACAGTTAGTAGGAATCTGTTATATATATATATATATATATATATATATGTAGTCGGCTTAAATCGGAAGTACCTGTAGGCTTGAAAAGGCGCTGTAAAACAAGACCGCTCCACGGATCCCAGTCTCTGCTGCCATACCCGGATGTGCATAAATTTAAGAGTTTCTGAGTCACACGGTGACAAGCCACACAACGGAATGTCGTGTATTTGCGTAACGCACTACTCATAGGGTTGCTGAAAGTTCTTCGACAGCCCAAGACCGGTTTCGCCCTTCTTAAGGCTAATCAAGTAGGCGCAATCCCCGAGTATCCGTCAACCTAGTTGAGGCCAAATTGCACGAAATTAGCGAAATACACTCATCAGCAATCAAATTTGGTTCTGCGTGAGACTCACCTGCAACCCAGCCTGGAAACATCACAAACGAGATCCCGATAAAACAAAATTTGTTTAGGAATGATTCCATTTCGCTAAGGTTGTGGTGTAGTCCAACCTCATCATTCAGGTAGTAAAATATCCCACTGACAAACAAAACCTCCTGAAACGTAGAAGCAATCTCGACCATCATTCCTAAAAAGCAGTCCGGTGACAGGAAATCCAGCCGTATTGGAGGACAAACGTTTATGTATGTGTAAACAAGCCAATAAAAATTAGTTGTGTACCGCTTACTAGGTAAAGTAAAAAGTCGAGATTTTGTCCTTCACCGTCGATTTTTCATATGAAATCGAAGGCATTCTCACGTGACCTAACTTGGTTTCATAATTTTAAATTGACAGAGTAGGTGAGTAGGTAACATTTTGTTTGGACCATTAGGAAACCGCATGTTTTTTTCTGCAAGGCATTGGCATACCTTATCAGTTTTGGCATGGGTACACGTAGCCGGATTCCGTAGTTGAGGTGACCAATCAAAGTCCCCACAAGATCTGCCGGGTTGGGCAGTGGACCACTGCTTACCGTGCCCACTAGATCGATTTGTGCGTTGTACCACTGGGCGGTTTCTCCGATCTCAGTCAAGGACTCGTTCACACCTGTGGAAGTAAACTAATGCATGTATTCATCACACATTTTGAGCCTGCTGCGAAATATGAAATAAAAAATTGCATGGAGACAGAAGAAACGAAAGAACTGAGATGTTTTGCAGACAATCACCCCGCCAAAGCCAGAAAGCTAAGATCTGGGACTTTTTACCCTCGAATTGATCGTGTCTGTATACATTGGAATAGCTCCGGTCACTCAAAGTGACACACGTGCCGCTCTGGTAGTGCCAGACTGGATAATGCTGTTTCTATAATTCAGCGACTAATGTATATTTAGTAAGTAAATATGAAATTGTGATATAGAGTCCCCCACGTGTCCATGGGTACGCATCTCTTAAAACCTCAGAGATTCTCGAACAGGCGACCTCCCCGTTGGACTACGAGCCCCTGTTCAGCAGCCTGATAAGCAGAAGTTAAAGCCACCCCTCTTTCGATCACAGAATCCTCACCAGTCAATTACACTTTGACTGGTTTTGCCGCCGGAAGACTTTCCGGAAGTTCCGCTCACCTTGTGAAATTATTCTTCCTTGGATCTAATTGTGGAGTGATTTCTATTAGTTCGGTGGACGCATTCTGAGAACTAGACCAAAGCACATAGCTGGGTTTTGCGAGGTAGCAGGTTCGGGTGATGTGGTGTATGGGGCTCCGACTTAATTCCAGCACCTTTTTTAAAAGTATCTTTCAGGATACTCTTTGAAGCAAAATTCCCAGAAAGGTATTCCCGCGGTTTCTGTAGGCACTCACTTTGCGTTCTCAAAATCGAGGCCAGATCCAGACGGCCGGTGGCCAGAGTGCGAAATTTCTTGCCGACTGCTTGATGAAGTTCTATGACACATTCATTCTGCAAAAAAGACAGTGTTGTCCTGAGATTGAGACCAAAAAATTGTGTATCATTACTACTAAGTTATAAAGTTGTGAGTCAACCGTAGTGATCCTGAACGATATTCGGGTGATCACAGTATATTTCGATAAATCTACTCTACTCATAAGGTCGCTGAAAACTGGTCAACAGCCAAACATCAGTTTCATCCTTTTTGAGACAAAGTGAATTACCTAAAGTTTATCAGCAGTATGACCTCATTAATACCGGGAAGGAACGGTCTTCATATACGTCTTGTGCCAAAAGCGCACGTCACTGATCCACAGATGAGCATAGATCTCAAGGCTGCAATGTGCACACCGTCCCTGACAAACTGACGTCACACCGGCATATGAAGTGTTGCATGCTGGCAAAAGGTCCTCAAGTCGTCCGAACATCAAAGCTGGTTTCGGATACCACTGGTCCACAGGGATTTATGCAACTGCCCAGATGAAGGAATTCATTCCATACCTGGAGGTCAGTCACTCCTCTATTCATTGTTGCAGAAGACAGGTTCCTCCCTGAAATCTGATTGCTGAATATGGCGCACCTTACGGATAGATAGAGCTTTGTTTCTTTCCGAGTGAAATGGTAGATACGCTCGAGAGTCTTGGTGTGGACACCAAGACTTTCGAGCGTATCCGCCCCACTGGCACAACAAACCCTCGGCTCTATGGTCTCCTGAAATGGTAGAATCGAAACGTATAGACAACAGTGATCTGTTGAGCTGTTGTAGTAACCCAGATGTCAGATCAAAGTGAAATATTCCGTGGAAGTGGATTTGAGCCCCACTTCCTGACACAACACTACTGCTGAGACTCCTGGAAAGTCATCAGAAGCCGATTACCGGTCTTGTTCTTCTTGTGATTTGTTTGACAGGTGTAGTTTTCGGATTTGCTCGAACACCAGCTTTTATATGATTGGGCTTGAACACGCATTCGCAAACTTCGGGATGCCAGATTAAACCAACTGAATCACCCTTTATAACATTTTTTTTATATTTAAGGCTTGTTATCCTCACAGATATCATTTGGAGATGAGTTCATGAGGTAAACTTGGTGGTGTGTTACCGAAAAACTCCTCGCAAGTGAGTGACTACCTCGCTTTTCAAGCAATGATAGCATTACCATACAACGAGCAATATTTGGAGCAATATGAACAGTTCGATGACCACCTGGTCATACGCTTCAAACAACTTCCGACCATAAACTCACCTTGTCCAGGTATTCCAACAACGAATGGCTCATATGAACGGGATACTCCACGGTCAGATCAAAGTCCACCTCTGGACCCGTTAAAACCGCCGTCGTATGTGTATCAAACTCATAAAAGTCCCAAGTAAGGAACAGTTTGACTTGTCTGGAACCATTCATCCACACGGTTTTTAGATCGTGCAGCTTCTTGACTACGGAAGGATACAACTGTAGCTGTCCTATGTGAATCTGACAAGTAAAAATGTGTAGAAAGACATTTGGACGATCGATGTAGGCAATCTGAGGGCTATTGTAGCCTTTCGTTGAAACGAGAACCCATATATAACAAGCAGTGAGCTATAAATTAGCTCAGNCAGCGCAATCCATGTATGCGCGTACAAGTTTTCTTTCCGGAACTGAGTAGAACAACCGCAAACAAGGCACAAAACAAGGTGTATATCACCCCAGGTCGTCGCCAGACACACAACACAGATACCACTGAACGGATAGAACTACCATCAACTACTATCAAGTAGAACATAAGATTGACGGAAACTCGGGGCTACCTGATGAGCCCCAAGAAGGGCGAAACCGGTCGTCGGCTCACGACCTTATAAGTAGTGTATTACTATCACGTGTACAGGTCCTTGAAAAAGTTCCCTTTCGGCAGCCAGAACGTTGGAACATATCACCTTGTTACACTACGTCGCTTTCTAAATTTTTACTTTCCACATTAGTTTAAACCTCAGCTGTTATCATGGTCAACATCGGGACCCAATTCCTGGCTACTTTTAACTGACCTATCACGTAACTCCTGATTCGTAAAGGGATCTACTTGGTGGTTAGCGGGACTAACAATATATGACCACGTCTTTTTCATAGATTAGCATGTGGAATATGTACCCAAACATTTAGAAGAGGATAGGACGGTTCGCTCTTCAAAACAGGCAAGATTACCTTGAAATTTCTTCACGGGGTTCTTCAGCAGATGCCCAGTTAAAAGCAGAAAGACAAATTGGTGAATGTCTACAAAGGTGCTGATTTTGGTCCAGATGGTCCTTATTGAATTGTTAGACAAGGTCTGCCTGGAGCTATGCCTACGGCAGTAGATCCACAAATTGTTCCCTATAGGTAATCAAATCGAGCTGGCCTGAATCCATCCACATGGCAAGAGTTATCTGACCGCGGAAAGTACTCGAACAGATAATACTTGAGTGAGCACTTGGTACCTAAGCGGAGTCATGGGAACAACAGATTGGACTTATCACGTCAAGGTGGTTGGGGAAGTGGTACTCGTGCTCATCTACGGCCTACGTATTGTTGTGTTCAGTTCAAAGTGATTTTTAGGGTAGGATTGGTTGCGGGAAGGCCAAGAAATGGCAAGTGGCTACACCTGAACTGAGTGGCTAATGATTTTCCCGGCATCCCAGTTGAGGCTCACGTCGTTCTGATTGTGTGTGACTACAACAGCACGCAACATATCCCAGTTGCATGAACGCTGTCATTTCCTGGCCAGGTTGCCTGGCTGAACTCCACCTGCTGTTGTGTGCGTGGCCTAGGTCACGTGAGGTTCATAAGGAAGCTGGTCCAATCTCTCTGATGGCACCTTAATCCCACATGTTGCGCAGATGTGTCTAGTCTCATGTTATATAGAGTTGTGGGCAATTTAGTCTTCCTCGCTTTTCCTGAGAGCATGGGCTTCTTTCTGACCCTTTCCATGTTTAGACTCTTTATCGAAGCCTGCTTCCTTCATCGCTGCGTGGAATTTAAGCGCCACTATGTAGTGAAAGTGTATTACCGTCAGCGATGGTGATGATGCCCGTGAGCCGGTTCCTTTTCAAGGACATGTGTTGACAAACACGCTTGGAATTTGAGGTTCTATTTCGGGCATCGATGCCTCCTCACTCCACCGGCAAGATCATCAGGATTGCATAGCTTGGAAGTTGAGGTTCTACTTCAGGCATCGATGCCTTACTCCACCGGCAAGATCATCAGGATTGCATCATTATCCCATTCGAACGACAGTGAGTCCAGCACTAAGTTGTCGAAAATTGTAGGAGACTGAGCCGATCTTTCTATTCTAACAATCATTTAAAGGCGGATCGATGCCATCGTCCCATCGTATTGTAGCAAAAATCAATACATCCGACTTTTCTGTTTACCACGTCACAGTGAAAGTGAACCGTTTTGGGTAAAACCGGGGAGTCTTGTTACAAATTTTCAAAAAAAATCCACATTTCCTACTGAGTAGTTCTTCTGGTTGTCAAGTAACAACCACATGCTTTTCAGCCGTCACACCTATCCATCACAGTAAGCTTTTTCTTGGTGGAGATATCTTATCGGAGGGTCGGTCCTAAATCGAAACCAGGTAGGAATGCTATTGCACGCTCTCCAGAGGGTGGTGTTCTCAAACACAGCTCATTGAGTGACATATCTCATACTGTTTTACAATGCTGTGTGCTTTGAGTCTAACTGCTAACGAAGCGGCTATGAAATGAAGCAACACGGTCGTTTCGTTACGAGATTTCGCAAAAAGTGACTGAAGTGAACCGCATTCTCATAGTCCTAAACACCATACTGATTAGCTGAGATGTGTTCTTTTTGTGAAGTTAGAAGCAATCGAAGGATATAGTAACCTGTGGAACATGTAACTCTAAAGCCAAATTCATTTAAGTAAAAAGCCGTGCATTCTACAGGTATCCAAATGAGGTAGATTTATTTAACTGGTTTCTGTTGCATTGATTTTGTTTCATCGGGCGCTTTGGTGTCTCGTGTCCATTGAAACAAGAGGACGGTCCCTTAGAATAGAGTACAGATACTCGTGACTCAGCCTCATTTAACTACAGAACCTGTGGGAAACAGTTTTTGCCAGGTACGAATATGGGGGAAGGATGATTGCCTACAAAGTATAACTTACTTCAATTATATTTTCATCCGAATTTTGCGGGACGCCTTTGATCTCAGTGACTTGTTTGACCGTCTCTCCGTGAATTTCCTCCTGGATAGCAAAATGTACATCTTTAATTTTGGTTTATACTCTTCTCATTGTCAAACCCAAAATTGTGGGAACAATAAATTTCCAGCAAGCTGTCTGGAAAAAAATTAGATTGCTCTGTGTTACGTCCAACGCCAGGACAAGAATACTAACTCAATGCACCATACTACTGTCTATCGATCCATCTATCGGCCTATAATCTCGACCAATCAGCGTACAGTTCACGGCTTACCTTACTGAGATGAGGATAATTAAGATTGTTTCGCTAGAAAAGATCTTTTGCTACCTACGTTGTGTTCAAAAACCTGTTGGAGAACTCTAACTCTGTGTATTTCATGAATAAATAATAGGCCATCTTGATTTCGTTCCCTACCAGTTTCAATGACGGGTCATAACGCAAGTGTTAGCCACATGGTTTCTCTTTGCGCAGCCAGAACAACACTATCAGAGTTTATCAATTTAGAAAGTCGCACATTAACACATGGTTTGATTGGCCACCGGTGTGATCAGCAAGGGTTGTGCAGGATTATCATCTTCCTGTTTTGAGCCATATTTTTAGATCATGGTTAATCGATTGGTGAATTGATATCTGTTTAGGTACGGATCTTTCCCAGATAAGCCCCGCCACCAATGTAAAAAGTGCATGTGCGAAGAGTTAAGCCCCACCACTTTTTGCCAGCTCCAATTCAATGTGCGCACGCAACATTGACCTATTTTTGATGAAAACAATCTTTTTATCCGCATCTGGAATCATTTTGTGCAAAAACTTTCTCCGTTCGGACGTAAAACCTTAAATGAACTTTCTGACGCTTTCAACTCTCGTTGATGACACGGAGACGGCAATACGCTTTTTGCAAAGCCACAAAGTGATCCATCAGCAACGTTTATGCAATATCGGCCATAAAAAAACACTTTCAACTGTTTCTGGCAGATGGAGGTGTAATACTCGACAGGGTTCACAAGAAAGGGAACTTCGAAAGGGAACTTGGTTGTAGCGATCTAGAATGGAGTTTAGGATAGTAGTTCTATTCATTTATTGTTGGTCTAAAAATTTGGCGAAAATCAAATGCTGCTCAGAGGAATTATTTATTAGCTACACGGCCGCGTTGACTGGAAGAACTTTCTTCGCGAAGTTTGCTCCTGGTGGTTTTTGCAGACTCTAACAGTTATCGGTGTCCCAGGTCAACACGTCGAGATCGATGTGACGCTAATATCTCGCCGTAAAAACCACGCAGGGCAAGTCCTTTCCTAGTAATGGATTTTCGGGGGGATCTGCCGGGAAACTAAAGGGCCGTTTATGTATACAGTTTCAGATCGAACTGCGGTCAATTTGATGGACACAATCCGGGCCTGCGACTCTTCCGGCTCAGTCATCATCTCCGATATGTGGGTATCATACAAAGGAATCGAAACGATGATTGACAAATTATACTCATGAAACAGTTAATCATACAGAAAACTTTGTGGATCCAGCGACTGAAGCTCACACACACAAACCATCAAATCTCTTTGGTACATGTCCCAATTTCACCGTCTTCACTAGTTTAGCGGACAGCTATTTGTGTAAGTTCATTTGGGGGCAAAGGTACCGAAAAACGGACCTTTTCATGTAAGTTAATGATGACATGTCCCTATTTCACCCTCTTCAATAAAAACTAAAAGGACAAATTTCATATCCTCTTTTCTAATCTTCTTTGGGTGGTGGGGGTTAATTTTTTGGCGAGGCTTATCTGGAAAATATCCTAAGATCACTTTTAATCGGTATTTTGGGACATATTTGAAGATAGAATCTGTGAAGATGATAGAATCTGAATAGGTAGATAGATAGGTAGATAGATAGATAGATAGATAGATAGATAGATAGATAGATAGATAGATCTGATAGAATCTGAAGGTAGAATCTGGGAGCATCCACTGGTACATTTGGTGAGATCCACGTATCGGTCTCTCTAGATAAAAGCGACCCTAATGGAGAAAATCGCCGTCCGTTAACGTTGTAGTGTATATATGTGACCACGCCAGAGCTGCAGCAGGCTAACTAAGTGATGTATACTTTTTTGAAGGACCTATGGGAGGCGACTTTTCTAGTTCAATAAAACGGATATGCTCCGAAAATTTTGCCAATTTCCTCTGCTGTCCGCTTGACATGATGACGGAAGGACGTAAGTTAAGGTCAGTTATTTGTGACTAGTTTTATTTGTATATGTTTGTCTGCGTTAGAAAGATTTTTGATTAAGTGTTACGTACTTTGCTAGTGTATATTACTGATGAAACGTACCGATCGGTTCTAGCCAAACTGACTAAGGCGCACCCCCAGCATCTGATGGAAGGCTGATTTACAGTCACTGTTTACTATTCAAACAACGTCCAGATGAATTCAGGTGACGCTTGAATATGTTATCTTTTACAAAACTAATCGCAAATGATTTTTTACTTTCATGTCTGACACATTGTAATTGCTCGGTTCTTGTTTGCAAATTGGCAATGCTATAATCGATGGCGACCTGTACCGGATCAGTTACAACGGGATTGGGGACACGAGGGAGCCAATTGCAGGGTATTTGGTGCAACGCACTGCAGAATAGTATTTTCACCAGATATAGGCTCACCTCAGGTGTATGTTTCACTGAAATATACACACGCACCTCTAGTGTATGACCATATAGCTGTGTCACGTGACCATTGACATGACGAGTGTACGTAGACTCGTGATCATCATCAGTGACGAGAACAACTGTGAGGACGCTGGTGCTTTAGCTCCTAGACAAATCTGAATGCAAGCCAGATACTGGCAGTAACTGGATCCATTAGAATTAAACATGGATTGAAAGTTCGGTTGGTTACTTCCAAGCTTGAAGTGATGTGGAAGACGTAGAAATAATTCGTTTTGATAGGGCAGACATTTCGATTGAATTCACTCACATCAAAGGTTTAGCAGCAAATATGCCTATCGGATGTAAGTAGGTCTGACAAGATGCACGCCTGCATTAAAGTCAGAGTTATTCGCGCAGAGGCCATCGAAACTTTTTCCTCAGAAGGCTACCATGCTTTCAACTCTGCTGAAACTCTTTGACAGCTCTCTACACTGCTTGTGGCTCACCAGATTGGTTAGGACCCCAAAGTTTCAACAGCCTCATGCTCTGATTGAATTAGTCATAAATTGTCATGTTGTATTCCTGTCTTCCGCGCGTGATAATGGATGCTCCTTGGACCTCGCCATCACGATTACTTTACCCATACTATAAAACTTTACCACTCAGACTTTCGGTAGTCAGAACCGTAGTTTCGGGCGAAAACAAATTCCTATTTCTTTGTAATGTACTACTCATAAGATAAGGTAAAATCCGTCGACAGCCCACGACCCCTTTTTGGGATTCATCAGGTAGGCGCATTCCCCGGGTTTCCGTCAAATTCTATTTGAACATGTTCTACTAGAACATCACAAACGAGAGATTCAGCTGGGTTCCAGATGAGTCTCTCAAAAAAACCAAATTAGTTTGCAAAGGAGTGTACCTTCGCTAAATCCCTATTTCGTCTAGGAAAAAAGTTATTTTTCTCTTGGCCCTTGGGAACTTTCAGCGTGGCGTAAAACTAGCGTCGATTAGTGGGAATGACACATTGGGGCTCGAAATTCATTTCTGTTTTACGGGGACTGGTCGGGTACAATCAGAACGCGACGACAATCTGTTGTACTTTCTGATGCAGATGCATGTGCCATGTAGGTAAACTATCAAACACTAGTTAGACTGACCAGGACACAACTCTGGAAACAAAAGTTCAAGGCAAACGGCACAGTGTAGCCAGTGTGTACGTGTGTGTCACTCGGTTGAGCCAATGAAATGATGGGCTCTATCTCCTGCGTGCAAGTAGAACATAAGGATGATGGAAACTCGGGGACTGCGCCTAATTGATGAGCCCCAAGCAGAGCGAAACCGCTCGTGGGCTCTGGAAGAGTTTTCAGCAACCTTATGAGTAGTTCCCCTCAAAGTCAGAGATGTTTAGTTAAACATGGTACTGATGGCGGAGTATGCGCGGAGTGAATTGATTTCCCGCTGCATGGATAAGATTGTTTGGAAGGCGTCTATAGTAGTGGCTTCGCAAGCCCCACTTACGTCCCAGTTTGCACGAAATAAACTCGAAGAGTAGGGAAGCGCTGGAGAATTTAGGAAGTAGGCAGAGAACTACCTTCTGATGCTTCTTCAAACAAACGGGGGTTATCGGTGAGTCTTTCCCCAATCAGTGTAATTACGAGATTTTATGGAAAGTTCAAATTCAAGTTGAGCCAAGTTTTCCCCCAGAATATCAATAGGTTTCAATAGGCATCCATTGGTGAGAAATAGCTTGGTCAACTTGCGGTCGGTGTTTTCATGGCTATGCCACTTGTAGTTTGTGCACCTACTGGTCTTAGACTCAAAGGAAAAGAGTTTCTGGTCTGATGCGATTTAACCTATCACCAACTAATGCTCTGGAATAATGTAGAACTCTTTGGAACATTGAAGATGATGGTGAAAGTGTTTGGCCTAGGCAAGCGTAAATGACTCGGCGAAGGTAAGTTTGACCCACGCGCTGATCATCAGTTTGTCTCATTTCTAATCAACAAGGATGCATTTCGAATGCCAGTAAAAATCGCGTACGCTTCAAAAATGACCTTTACGCAACAGTGAAAATACTGGTCTCACCGTCGAATCTTCCGTCCCACGCACCTTCTCATGCACCAGCGCGTCCAGTTTGCGAACCAGGGCCGCTCGAATATCAAGTAGCTTTGCATTGTCCTCCAAATGTTTCAACGAATCTTGTTTCGCCTGATCTAGACGTTCACTTAGGTTCATCAACTGAGCTTGTAAGTTTCGATTGATCTTGTGTTGAACGCCCAACAACTTCCTGGTTTTCTCCAACTCTGCGATGGTTTCTGCGTGTGCCAGCTCAGCCTCCTTCAGCCGCCGGACTGCATCTTGAAGCAGGTTAGATGGAAAGATAATGGTGAGGACTAAACACAATAAAATAATGGTAAATCAATTTGGTTCTCACGAGAGACTCAACTGAATCTCTCGTTTATCCAAGAACTACACCTATCGAGCAAATCACAAGAAGAACAAGACCGGTAAGCGACTCCTGATGACTTTCTCTTTTGAAAATATACTGCCATATCTCGAATATCGTGCCCATCGAAACATGAGGCGGCCTGTATGCAGCCATTCAGTTGCAGAATATTATAAACGAGAGATTCAGTTGAGTCTCTTGTAAAAACCAACTTGATTTGCAAATGATTATAATCCTCGAAAACAGTGCAATTTGGGTTCAAGTAGANTAGAACATAAAATTGACGGAAACTCGGGGACTGAGCCTACCTGATGAGCCCGAACTGGAAGGGCGAAACCGGTCGTGGGCTGTCGAAGAGTTTTCAGTAACCTTGTGAGCAGTTTCCTTTATGAAAATAATGGTAAGTTTTGTCGTACGATGGATCCAGTCGGTTAAGACATCTGTCCAGAAATGGTGATAGAACAGCTCGGTAGACTGGCTGTTGACCGGATGACACTGAGGACATCGAGTGACGAAACGCATTGCCGAGTTTGGGGAACTGCTCAGATACTACTTGATCAACAGCAATTTCAGGCGGTCGAGCTTGCAATGTGGAGGTACACTGCTGACATATCGGTAGAAACGCATGTATCTCTGGTCTGAGCCTGGTTTTGGCATCCAAGTGCACGAATATACCAAATGACGATATTGTTAACGTGAGGTAAATTTCTACTCGTGTGGCATACACACAAATCCGATGAGGCATATAACGGACAGCATTACAGTATGATTACCCCCAGTAAATTGTAACGATAGTTCGAGCCCAAGTGATTAACGTTTATAGAGATAAACGTCTTCATGCGAGCTGGTTGAGATCAGTCGCGTGTTTTGTGTTGAGGAACCTCCGAGTGGGATCACTCCATTGAGGGGGACAACCGGATGTTTAGAGTAAACAAACCTCTGAAAACCAGAGATGACATACCTTCCGATTTTCGAAGTACCGGTTTACTGTTGTGGGTACACCTTATGCCACTAAAACAGGTTTTTTTCAATTGACTATCGGTCCAAGATCCCCTATTTATGTCACAGGAACGGCTTACATACAAAACTGCCATATCAAACACCTCATTGAACAAAACTTGGTTGAAGTTAGCCGAGAGTTTAGTCGTAAACATAAACAGAGTTTGAACCCGGAGGACAATGTTGGCGGGTGGATAGAAGTAGTGCGCGATAACTCAAAATCTCCCACAACTGCTGTTTTAGTTGCTGAATGAGATTCATGTTGATGATCACTGCCATGTTTAGCTCAATGAGAAGGTCATCAGATTGCTGTGTGATTCAAAAAACGAAGTTACCATAATGTGCGAGTAGGTTTAGATCATAGGTATGGACTGAACATTTGGAGCTGAGAACTATTGGGTAATTTTATCCAGGCCCCGAAAAAGCTGCCGAGAAAACCCGAGCACAAATATATTTTCACATAGGAACCCAGGAAATATGTCCGCCGGGTGACTAGGAAGCAGTTTGAGATCTATCGGAACAAATTGCCTTTCCCGATGACTTTATACGGATTTAGACTAACTCAACCTACGTCTTAGCAGTTGTTAAAAACATACATTTTCCATATTCTTCCAGTAAATCAAATGGAAACGTCAATTTGTAATGACTGACCCTAGGTACAGATACGACACGAGTTCCTGCTTCAGACTTAAGAACGCGTCCGACAATACGTTATTTAAAAGCCTCAGATGCTTTCGATAGTCTGACGAGAATCCCTCAGGCAAATTGCACTGGCTGAAGGAGCTAGAAAGCATCTTTTATCGCAGTGGTATCGCCCTGGAGGTTGACCACTGACGTTGGATTTTTAAGAGATAACAACGATCAGACTCACATGCCGTAGAAGCCGTCCGTGTATTGGACTCTCGGTAACAATACAGAGTATATTAAAATACAAGATGTAACCATAGGTGAATGGGGTTGGATCCAAGGAACGGTCATTACTTTGAAGGTAGCCGAACACACAACCTCCTCGTCAGTTGTATTTCAAGCGGCGTGAAGTTTACTGACCAGAAAAAAAGCTTGGGAAACTATTGGTGACTGTATCAGCGGGCATATGACACCCCGCCCATACAACATGATTTTAGTAGTGTGTACTTGCAACTTTGGTCAGTAAGATTTTTGCTTTACGCTTTGGTGGAATCTCAAAATTAGTTGAACCTCATAGAAAAAACAAAGCCACACACCGAACCCATATATGAGCAGTTGACCTAGCTATCTCTTTTCGTATTTGTTCAGATGTAGTAACCATTTAATGCCTATCTACCACGCCACCCGAGAGAAGGTGCCTGAGACACCCTCGCGGGCTCCTCAAGCATAGACGGAAGCTGTCCAGTTTCGGAGGTAGGGTTCGAACCACGGCCAGTAAATTCGCGCCCCAACCGCTTTCTCAATTCAATTTTCATATTCACTCGGAACAACCAGCCAACAGAGTAGTGAAGGTGATTCCAGATACCGATTGATATTCGAAAAAGATAACAATGAATGTTTTCTTCGTTGCATAAAACCAGCCAGATTTGTGAATTACTTAGTTATTCTATCAAAGTTCATGTACTAAACGTGATAGCCTGCTCATCAACAAAAGCAGCAAACTTTGGGCTTAAATCCACGCTCAAATTGTTGACACCTGAACTTCGATGTAGTCCGTCATAGTTAGCAGCATATTCGAACTCTTTCACACAGGAAGCTCCGTGGTTTCGTTGCGAAACCATTTGAGAGAGTTTCATTTGGTTGATTTGAGTAGTATGGGTCGTTGTCCCAGGCTACGTAAAGAAATAAAAGGGATTATAACGGGTACCTTGAAAAGGTAAATTCGAGCTGGTTGGCGTGGTCCATTTTATGCGGAATAATAGTAACAGGCTCTTTCGAGTCTCCGGTTCAACTAACTGCTTCATTATTAGAGGGACAAAAGTGGCCTTTCAAGCAAATTGTTTTTCAGGTCAAGGATTGATCTTCCCAATTTCCCAGGACTAGGTTTACCTGATGGTTAGGCCGCCAATGAGTTGCCTGCAGATTATGAGCGGATGTACCTTGCTACGTACTTATATTCAAGCGCAGCAATCATTTTCTAGCCTTTTCATAAGTGAAAACTCATCTTTAGGTCGGAATCACGGGCAAAAACGTTCTTACAGAATGCTGGTTTTCCAAACTTGCTGTGAGGCGTCAACTCAGAAGAAAGTATGCTATTTTTTTAAACCGGAAGGTACTCAACAAATACAGGTAACGAACAGTCGGCATTAGCGGATATGGACTCATTTGCAAACTAATTTGGTGCAATTTGGTTTCAAGTAGAACATAAGGTTGACGGAAACTCGGAGACTGTGCCTACCTGATGAGCCCCAAAAAGGGCGAAACCGGTCGTGGGCTGTCGATGGATATTCAACAAACTTATGGGTAGTAAATTAAAAAAATAGTCGGCACCGTTATCCGACCGATAGTTTAGTCGAAGATTTCCAGGCAGCATAAGCAATGACAGCATGTGCAACCTGGATGACATGCTTTAGCCTGACTAAACTTAGAAAAACTAGTGACGAGTTTTATGTATGTCGGACTAGAATCATCATTTCCAGGTGCACGTAAACCCTCATTTACACCTCATCATCATCATCGTCATCATCAGCATCATCATCATCATCATTGTCAGCTGTAAGAACCGCGTATTTGTCGTAGAGTGGTTTTGCTGCCGCAATATCAGTCACCGACGATTTGGGAAGGGGGGGAGAGTAGCTGCGCATTGGAGGCGGGAGCTGATAAATTGGTGCGTAAATAAAGGACCATCAATGGACTGTTAAGTGGGGAAGCTGGGAAGGGAGCTATGCGTTGTAGGCAATAGCTTGGATGCATGAGCGCTATTGAGGGCGCGACTGGGCCATGTCTGACAATGTCTCTAACCACTGATGTGGACCGTCTCGGGGTCCCCATCCAGGAAGACGACAATGACCAAGGCAGCTGAGTTTGCTGGTAACAGCATGTATACTTCTGATTTGCACAGGAATACGGTCTTGACAGGAGACTCAAATAAATCCAGCTGAGTCTTTCGTGCATGATGGCCGGCTTTATCTCAATGTGTCGCACCAGGCTGCCTCTTATTTCAGTCGTTACGATATCCGAGATACCAAAACTGACCATCATAAACTAGAGATACAGTTGGATTCAACTGAGCCCCCCGTCAAGATCAAATTCGTGTGAAAATGACAACGTTTATCGAACTTCGTCCAAGTTGGGTTCAAGCAGAACGCATGGTTGACGGGGGCTACGCCTATCTGTTTAAACCAAAGCAGAATGGCTAAACCGGCTGTGGATAGTCAACATTCTCCAGCGAACTCCCGAGTAGTATGTTGTGTCTTCTCAGTAGTTGTCCATCGTTCGACAACAGGCCTCCTCATCTTCAGGACGCGATCTTATTGGCTTCCTGTGGAAAAGTGACGACGTCTCGTTGAAACACTTCGACATATCTGATGAGAGTAGCAAAGATCTGATTGTTCTCTATGTTTCTCCGAGGCACGTGTATACTGTGCGTTTTGGAGAATTGTCGCTTTGGCAAGTGGCTCAATTTGTTTCGAAAATTGTCTCTGGGACGATCACCAGCCCTCCTTTAGATCACGTGATGTTGACAGTCTTCGAAAAATAAAGCCTTCTCTTGGAAGAGGCTGTCACATCTCTAACGCTGATTTTCGTGAAATTATTTAAATATGATATCTCTGTAAGATGACTGGGAGAAAAAGTCAAATGTGATGACAGCTGACTCATCCATCTGTTCGTTCATACCAGAGTCAAACCATCTAATCTACTATATGGTACACTACTGTTCATATCAGGATTTCAGTTCATATAAAGTAGGACGTTGCGACGAATGCCTCAAATATTAACTCAAATGGTGCTGTGTGCTTACTTTTCCTACGTGTGGAACTGGATTTCGACATCTCCTTTTGTAGAGTAGATACCGTGTTGTTCCAACACAGCTTCTCTTCCAATATCTTTTAGCTTAAACTATGGACATACTCAAGACGCACTGACGATACCGGAACAAAATGACTGTACACTGATTTTCAGATGTCTTTTTTCACTCCCGGTATGAATTTGCAATTGAATATGCGTGATGAGATTGGATCATGTTTTCTCACGGGTCAACAAATCGATACATTTGAATGTATCGCAACGATTGTAGTTGGAGATGCTATTGACCCAATTTTTCTCTGCCTTTCGCCAATCAAATGGTGGCTTCATACATGTTCTCTGCCCGAAATAATCCAGTTCTTGAAATACACTCATTTGCAAATCAATTTGGTTTTCACGAGGGACTCAATTGAATCTCTCGTTTGTGATATTCTACAACTGAATGTGCTGCACACAGGCCGCCTCATGTTTCAGTTGGCACAACTGTCGAGATATCGCAGTATATTTTCATAAAGAAAACTACTCGCAAGGTTGCTGAGAACTCCTCGACAGCCCACGACCGGTTTCGCCCTTCTTCGACCTCATCAGGTAG